TAACTTATCAATAGATTGTGAGTCTTTTCCCATGTTATTGGTAATTTGTGGTTGGCTATTATTTACTTCTTTATTTGGAGTTTTTCTGAATTAGAGTATTAGCATATAGTCCAGGTGGGCCTTGAACTCCCTACAATCCTCAGGCTGGCCTTAAACCCATGATCCTCTATCTCAGTTTCATGAGTACTGGGACTACAAGCATGTGCCATAATGCCCAGTAATTGTTTTTGTGTTTTTTTAAATATAGTATATGAATTCCATAATTCAGATAAACCATAATTCATGCAACTATTTCTGTAACATCCTTTAAGTTTTCAGTTTTTACTATTCTATATAATGTCTTAGCATGTATCCCTATTTTATAAATTCTTAAAATTAGAATTACAAGAGTAAAAACTATATGCATTTTAAAGTTTTCAGTACAATATCAGGCTTTCCAGTATATAGTCTCACTCCTAATCTGTATATAAACACTCTACAATGCCTTAACTTTGGTGTTTTATTTTGTTTTCTTTTGCTGGATTTCAAACCCCAAGACCTCAAACGTGCTAGTTAAGCACTGTACCATTTAGCTGTACTCCCAGCCCTGGGATGCTTCTTTTCTTAATTTTACTAAATTGAATATATCCAAAATATCATTTCAACATATAATCATTATAAAATAATGAATTATTTTTGTTCTTTTTTGTAACCAATCTTTGAAATTGCAATTTTTTTTTAGTTTGTGCAAAGAAGAGAGGTACTGTAAAAATATTCAGACAGAAAACATTTCTAAGTGTAAGGAATATATTTCTTTCATAGAAAACTTAAGTTAACCAACCAGCTAAAGGGCCGGGGAGACGGCTCAATGGAATAAGTGCTTCCCTGGCAAGAGCAAGGGCCTGAATTCAATCCCCAGTTCTACCAAAACAAACAAAAAAACAGCTAATGAAGCATAAGGAAGAAGCAGTTACTCTAAAAAGTTAAAGAACACGTGAGAATAATCTGTACTATTTATACAGTTTTCTGAAAGTCTAAAATTACTTCAATATAAAAAACATAAAAGAGCAACAACTTTCAGTAAAATAGGACAGATTAGCTTTGTTAGTCTTGTATAACCCTAGTGTTATAACACACTAACAAATTAATAGTACATTATTAACTATAAAGTACAAATTTTATTCATCAATTTTTCCATTAATGTCCTTATTTTATGTTCCAGGAACCCATATTGCATTTACTTGCATACTGTTTAGTTGCATTTAGTACTTCTTCAGTCTCCTCTTGTTTGTGAAAATTGCTTAAATTTAATTTATCACGAAGAAACATGGGATAATCCCAAATTGAGAGATGTTTTACCAAATACTGATACATACTCTGAAGAATTACTTATGAAGTTTTGGAAAGAAAACCTCTCAAGTGATGTATCCTTCTGGAGCATTATACAAACATGTTAGCCTAGATTGCTTGGTTAAACCAAGGTCTGAGAATATTCTCCATTGTAAAATAACTGTTTCCCATTGTAGTTAACAAATAGAGATTCTACTCAAGAGACTGAGACAGAAAAGTCAGAAGTTCAAGGCCAGCCTGAGCAACATAACAAGTCCACATCTCAAAAAAATACAAGGGAGGATATTTGGAGACTATGCAAATTTTATGTTTTTCCTGAAGCTCCTACTAATTTTAGCATCCATTAGTGGATTATAACCTCTACGCTATTACTATCATGTTTACTTAGTGGTAGTTTTCTATCTCAATTGAAGAGCTGTATTTTCTCCATTTATCTTATTTATATCAGCACAGACTCATACATGCTATGAGTTTTAATTCGCTACTATAATTATTTGTTGTTCAAATCATTCCATATTTGAACATTGGGAATTCTTATCATTTGACATGCCTCATTCTTTTGAGCATTTCCTTTACTTTGTAGCATCATGAAATGTTTATGGCTTCTTTTATATTTTCCCTGCCTCTGCTCTGGAATCAACTACTTCTCCAAGTGGTTTTGGTTCCTTTTGTTGGACAATGATAATCAGAAACTATTACCTGGATACTTGGGTATGTTTGTTGCTGTTGAAGTCATTGTTTCCAGGTTCTCTTTTGCAAAAAGTTTTTATCATGAATGCGGTTGAAATTTTTACTTTCATGTGTTTATTCTTATGATGTATTTAGATCAATTGTTTTTCTCCTGCATTGCAGCAATATGGTGAATGAAATTATTTTCAAACTTTCAACCAATTACAAATTTCTGGAATAAACCCCAATAATTAAGGTGTTTATTATCCTTTCTCTATATGGCTGGATGTATTTGTTCAGGATTTCTGCATTATTCTTGTGAGAAGTATCTGTAAGTTTTCTATTCTTGCTTTCATCTGGCTTTACTATTATGTTGACCCCATTGAATGAATTGGGAAGTGTGCTCCTTTCTGTCTTCTGAAAGTTTGTCCAGGTTTGATATTTGATCTTTTTATATGTGTTAGAATTTACCAATGAATTCATCCCAGAAGTTTTCTTTATGGAAATATTTTTAAATTATAAATTTAGTTTCTTTTATAGGTATAAGACTATGAGTTAGGTGCCAGGGAGATGGCTCAGTGAAATAAGTGCTTCCATGGCAAGTGTAAGAGCCTGAGTTCAATCCCTGGTTCTGCAAAAAAAAAAAAAAAAAAAAAACACTATGAATTGGATGGGGTTTATCACTGGGTCAAGATGCTTACTATAATTGATTCAGCCAAAATCACAAATCCATCTTTGTGGCCAGAAGATTTGGAAAAAGCATTATCGGAAGAAATGAGCCATGTCAGGGCTCCAGGAAAATTATTAGACAACTTGTGTCACTTTGTGTTTACTGTACTCTCTTCTGTACTCCAAGCCATGGTAAAGCAAATCTTTTTTTTTTTTTTTTTCCTTTTTGAGACTCGGTCTTGCTAT